ATTAGTGTGATAATTATTTCATGTGGATTGTATAAATCGGTTGACTATTTTAACTAAAAAGACTAAATTATTCAAGAGAACAATCTATGTTTCTGTGTTTAAACATGTAATTAGTGCTTATATAAACAATTTCTCGATAATTTTCATAACATGAACACCAATCGAATGAACATCTTGAATTTCCAGCATTTACTAGACAGAAAAGTTCCAGTTATTTCAGTGCATCAGTAAAGAGTTGAACTTTGAACAAAAGAAAATTGAGCTAATTCTTATTGAATAATTTCATTGAGATTCTGCACCGACTTAAGTTAGACCACCATTGAAAGACTTGAAGTACTAGATGGCCGTTCCTCCCCAGTATGGGAACACTCCACAGCAGTGCGCACCCACGACCCCGAATATGGAAATCGAACCAAGAACATTCGACCACGTTCGAGAACGCTTAACTTTTAGGCTACTGAATCGTCATTCAAAGGCCTTAATGTCTAACTTCATGAGTTCAATGAAATTCAACCATCTCTACAACCGCTTACAGATGACTGTTAAATTTTGTTTGAGATATAATCTGAATTAGAAACAAACAAAATTATCATGTAATTCCTACCGAGTGATGATGATGCGACAGACTTATTCTTATTAATAACATATGTAATTCACACACTCAAAAAGGTATATTCTACAAAGCTCATGAATTGGTAAATATTAGATGAGAATAGATTCGACAATTTCTGGAAAATCTTCTGTCAATTCACAATGACTAATTGCTACCATAAATGTTTATGATTTTCCAAATCAAAATTTTAGTTCATTCTATAATCTACACCTAGTGAAAAGATACTTCCAATTTTTAGTCGTTCTTTAGTTTTAATAATTTTCAATACACACTTTGATAAACTTACTATTATTAAATAATTTTACCGAAACATAAAATAACCTGTATACGAATTTGTTCTCTTTTTTTTGGTATGATTTAGTCATTATTACTGTAAGGTTACATTAATAGTTTTCTCATGGATATAATACCTAATAATAGAAGTTAAATTTCAATATTGATTTATGTAGGACTTCTGTTTTAGTTATCCGGTTCTATTTTTATTAGCAAGAAAAAAGAAATATTCATTTGTATGTTTTATAATCATTATAAATCCAGATATTACTAATAATAGCAATATTCTGAATGATATTCGACAAATATTTGAATGAAATCTCAGGGATATGTATCCAGTAAAAACAATATGAGGATGAACCACTTAGAATAGAAATGTTGATGAGGAACTCAGATATCACATATAACGAGCAATATAAATATCGTTTTATGGTGCCCAGAACGTTTAAAATGATAAAAGAACATCATTTTTTTACCATGAGGTAAAGATAGAAGTGTTAAACATATAAGATGATTGATTCTTTCTCTGTACGTTGTATCTAACGGGCAAATAGACAGCATCTGCTATGGGGAAAATATCAAAGGAAGTTGAATTTCCAGAACTACCTTACCTGAACGTGTTATATTTTTGTTGTATAATTATTACTTAATTTATTGTATGACCATGCTAGTAAGCTTTTCTGTGATGGATAAACTGTTTTACCTTTCTGAAGTTATTGTTAAATCAGTATAGATCCATTACTCAGTTGTTTCAAATATGAAGTAGTGTGCATGTACTGTGACTTCTTAAATATGTTAATTTATGGTCAGGATTCTACTTAATATCACCGTATGAACTATCCATAAATTTGAACTATGTAGTTATAGCATTTTTACGTTCTGTGCTGTCTTACCCTGATTATTGGACAAGTAATCATGGGAAAACTGCATTCTGGACCAACAGTAGTTAAGTATTGATCTCGGCTGTTTTCCCACTATCGTCGGACTATTTTTTATCAGATATTGTATAAGATAGATAATTTAGGCGAATTAATCAATACCCGGACTAGAATACAACTCCCGTCCTGCATTACGGTCCGATCACACAGACAAAGAACAACTCAGGAAATTTGTTTTAATTTCGTCACATCAGTGTCCCTAAATCTTTCAACTAGACTTTTAGTCCTGAAAAGAACTTTGACCTCGTGACATTATATTTTATGTACGAACTCCTCTAATTTCAATCAGATTTTTACGAGGAATTTATTCATCCACATAGTTACAGATTAATTTTTCAGTACAGCTGATACCATTTCGTCATGAAAATCCTAACAAAGGACACATGGGGCCTGCTAAAATCTAATTGGGCTATTATAAAGGTTTAAGAGAACGGATGGTTTATATCCGTGTGAGTGAATTTAATTCTCTGTATTTTTGATTTACATTCAGAGTAATTTGTAGAAGACTTTGATAAATTATTTTTATAGAACTTTTTTACACTTTGTAGTACTGTTGTCTTATTTACCTGAAATTATCCACACACAAATAGCCATTTTCTGATTGTGTTAAGATAGGCTGAAAGTTTGTTGCGGTAATTCCAAAGTCATCCCAATATTACGCACCTAATGTATATCCTTCTACTTATCCCAGCGCTAATTTTCATGATGTATATCGTCCGAATACCTGAAGATGCACTGAATGGTTTTTTGAAAAATTTCTGGAATGTTTTTTCATATCGTCTCTAAGTTTTGAAATATAATAGCACGATAGGAACAATTCAGAAATGCATACTAATATCCTAACGATTTGTAATCTACCGTTAACGATGTCAAATTCAATGTCCAGAAGCATTTACTACTGTTTTTTAACAGAGGTACATTGACTGATATCTCAATTAAAACTGATCATTTATGCTCACATTGGTAATGTCCTACAACAATAGCTGTTTATATTAGTCTGACAAGTTTACGGCTGGACGTTTTCCATGTTCAGTGAATGCGAAGTATCCAGTACTTTCCGTTCATCTAGATGTGTGATCATTTTATTATGTATTTTTTAAAAGTGGCTTCAATTCAAACTCTGTATTTATTTTTCATCTGGCGTGTTACACTCCGCTGTACAAATATATCTATGGCGGAGAGTTGTGTATACCTCCAGATAAAAACTAGTGAGAATTACATTCAAATTTATGGCACTCCCTAAACGAACGGAAACAAAAAAATAGCCGAAAGCGTTGATCACTCCACATGTACTAAACACCAACAAAAAATGTGGATAACCATAGTATAAATTTATACTACTAAGACATTTGAATCACGATATTGTATACATACAAAACCACAAAAATCAATCATTCGTAAATATCAAAGTTAAATTTTCTGATTCGAGGGAAAGGAAAATATATTATCCATTATAACTAATAACTTTTGTGATTTTGTTTAATCACTATTTTTCATTTAAAATGAGTTCATCGATGCAAAACTGTAGGCTCAGTGAAATGCCACTGAGCCCTAGCCAAATCATCCGACAGTCGGGTCACTAAATGTCGCACAGTTCACTGATCCTCATCAAGTTCAAGGATAACCAACACGCACTAGTTAATTGCAAACCATGGACTGGTCCATGCGGTGATGACCGCACTCTTCCTTGTACCTACTCTTACTAATACATTTTGGTAACGTCGTTTGTTTTAGTCATCAAAGCATCCACGGAACCTGGATACGATTAAAGGGATGACTCAAGTTAAGTACTAACCATGAGATGTGACCTCGACCTTAGTTGGTCCCCAATCATCCGAAAACTTTTTGATTTTATCATCTTACTGGAACTAGAACACCTTAAGTCGTCCATTCTCATATCAATCGTAAATCGAAATCAATGCAAAAATAGTGAAGCAAGTAGATTAATGTATGATCATACATGCATTCACCTTAAATGACTTCTTTATCTCATGATCTCGATTAACTCTAATAACTAGAAATTTGGCCTGATGTTGCTCTAAGTTGGTTTATGGGATAATTTAAATAATCATGAATTAAATCTGTTTGTTCACATTGTTGGACGCAGCTCACTGATCTCCAAACTGACAAGGCCACTTACCGAAACAGCTAACAGAAACATTGGTGGTCCGCCCATAGTTAAAAAACCTAAACACGATGATGGTGCGCTGGCCTAGCTCAGGGAGATAATTAAAAGTCCGCTATTAAATCACATACCATTAAAAAAATACCCACCTCACCTACAAATTTTTACCATCCTACATGTGTGACCACGAATTGAACCAATATTTAACAACACATCACTGTATTTAGCGTTTGTTATACAAACACATAGCGTACATTTGTATGTTTAGTGGGCGTATCAATATGGATCCAGACACTTCCCAACAATTCATTATACGAGTTTTGCTGGTGGTTTTCAAAGTACGACTATTTATGGTAGTTACATTGTTTTTATAATAGGGGACCAACCAATCAGACAATGGGTTTACTATATCCCCATATCCGCCCTTTTTTCACGCTACATTTATGCTGACAACTCGGCGAAATGGACTTTGTTAAACAAAAGCAAAACACTTATCTTCAATGTGTTGCGACTATCACATTGATTCCCGTTTGCGCATAAGCCAGCCCTTTAGGAAGGTATTTCAACATACCATGAAATTCACCTCCGACACACATGTTCCCTTTCAGCTTTTAATATGGATTTATTTTATGAGTCAGCTTCCTGGTGTCGCCTAACAACCAAACAAGTACCAAAGCAACTCGTGCAACTTAGTTTGCCAGATATTGACGATCCAAGTTAAAAGTATTTATACATCTGATATACATATATATATGTATGGTGTCACAATATAACCTGAACTTAAATACTGACTGCCGGTTAAGTTACTGAACATTTAAGAGCAACATATATACGGTGTAGTGTCATTCCTTAAAAAAAACACTTAAGAGCTCAATATTGATTCCAAAAGTAACAGAATAATCTACTTATGAAGCAATTAATGACTGTAATAGTATAACGTAAAACAGAATCTGCGTTATTTCACCGCCAATTATCTAGAACTTAACGAAGAAAACCCTTCCCCTCTACTGATAATTGGTAAACTCATAACAGCTAATGCAGAAGAAAAGAAAACAGTCTGGAAGCTTTTATTCATATGTACGAAAATGTCGAGGGATTAAATGTATTTAAATGGAATCACCAGATGACTGAGATCAATGTTTCTTTACCTAGTCTAGATCTAAATGACACAGTAACAGGTTATTTTTTATTAAATCTTACCTGGACATGACTGGTTAGGCATATTGAACCCGGCTCCACCCATTCCGAACGGCATACCTCCTAAAAATTTATCCACATTAAATACATGGGGAATATACTACGAAGCTAACTTTTTATAAATACGTTTGATAAAATAGACAAGTTTTATTTTGTTATTTACTTTAAACATAGCTGAGTAAGCAAAAGGTAGACCGATAGGTCTTTAATAAAATGAACAACTGAATGTTTCGACTCCAATGAAATGTAGCCCGACTGAGTCATATGAGGTTTTGGAATAGCGTTGTTGGACCCCATTTACTGCGTAAAATTCAAAAGCGCAACTCACCAATTCAATGGAGTCGAGTGCAAATTCTTAGCACATGCACCGGTCTGTAGACTGGTGAAAATACCATTGAACCACTTCTACAAGCTGCAGTATTGTTCACGATCACGTAGCTGGATCTTGATATCAAGAATACTTAGGAAAATGTTTTATTAGACAAATTTTATATTTAAACGTCTGTCTAACATTACTGGACGTGGCTATAGTGATATAGGCTGTTCAAAAATCTGATTACCTATACTAACTACAAATCTGTTAACTGATACATCGAAAAGAAAGTGCACTTTAAGGTGTATATAAGTTTGTAAACGTTATTCAAATCCAAATCTGTCGGTATGGTTGACTTACCGGGCATAGCACCACCGCCACCACCACCAAATCTATTCTTCATTTTCTCGATGACCTTCATTACCTTGGGGTTGTTTTTGTACTTATCCATTGCAGCTGGGTTTGAGCATACTTCGCTGAATGCCTTCATCACTTCAGGGTCCTAAAAAAGTTAATGCGAGTATGCAAGGATGGATTAAACATAGCTTTTTGATCTATAAAACAAAAACTTTAAAGTACGTGGATCAACTTCTAGCAGAGCTGAACTTATTAAAGCTAAAAGTAGGAATTTATACTTGGAGCACTTTTTATAGACCTTTGATCACATAAAGTCAAGTATAACTTGTAATAATACCGTTCGGAACTAAAAATCTGCTATTAGCAGGCTATGAAATAGAAGCAAATTAGTGACTACCTATTATCATTATTATTAGATAATTAAGACATCAGTGGTTATGGATGGAATAGTGAGTACCATAGAATTTACTTTGCTGTTTATAATTAAACTGTTAGAACCTCAACACTCGGATTATTTTGCTAGTCTCTTTATACTACCGAAGACTAAAAAACCTACAAATTCTATACATAAATATCAGGAATTTCCTAACTAGATAAATCAGACTGACGATATTTGGTAGTCCCTAAAATACAGGCTAGGTACTAAATGGTCCGAATTTAGTCACCAGACTCAACGATGATTTCAAAAACACGGGCAAGTGCTGTGCAGAATGAGTTTAAAAACTATATGATATTTACCTGGATAGCAGACATCAATTCTGGATCATTGAACAGTTGCGAAAACATATTGTCCATGCCTGGAATGTTACCGCTTCCTGGAATGTCAAAATCGGGTTTTTCTGTATCCTATTCACGGAAAAATGGGAAAATTGAAAGCTACGACAAACAAGCCCACTTAACCAATAATTATGGTAGAGCGGTACATCAGTAATAACAAAAAGAGCACTCATTCCAAAATAAAATATATAGGTTTGACTTTCCTAAGCGATCAGATAAGTTAGAAGTGGTTTTAAGATAACCACTTTGGAGCTGAATTCCACTTTTGGACATAAGGAATTCAAAGTGACCTAATTTATAAGCTTCGTATTTAAAATGACTAAAGTCTAAGTTGAACTCGCTTTACTGTTTTTAAAAAAGGTCGACTTGTCAATAGATAATGAAATCGATGGACGTTTGTGAGGACACCTAAATATACCAACTTGGAAATAAATACTTATGAACGGAGAATAGTACACACTACAAAAACAAAATTTATGGTTCACAGTAGTTTACTCTCAGGCATTGAAATAACTCAGTGAAAAAACAAATTTATACACAATCATTTTTCCAAGTACAAACAAAACAAGTTGACCTACTCTCTGGGCGCGTTCACGCTCTTCTCGTGCTTTTCGAATTCGCTCGCGTTTTTCTCGTTCTAGCTTTTCTTGTCGTTTACGTTCATACTTCATGTTATGTTCGAAGATTCGTTTGTGCTATTCGGAAAACAATACCAAAATAACTGTAACAAACATGTGCGTAAAATTGAAACCAAAGTTGGGATTGTCCTTTAATAATACGGGATGTGGTCAGAAGTTGCTTCCGTCAGAGTTGCTACACGTCACATCAAGACTAGAATCTAGACACGCGGAGTAGTGGACTAAATGTACGGAATACATATTAAGAAAGGGTAAAACCACAGATTACGGCCAGTATGCAAGGAAATAAACACATCCATTTGGCTAGTCGACTTTCGACATTTTATGTACCGTGAAGCAACAATTACCCTGACAGTCAGGTCAGAAATGTACATCTAGCTGACGTCACAACCTCAACCATGCCACAAAACCGACCAGGTACTCCGAAGTTGCCATAGACGACGGACCAGGGCTACGAAACGATCTCAGTGAAGTCTAAATACTTAGTAATCGAACCGTCACTTTAATACATTGCGGCTGAGCTCAGTGTTATTCACACGACGGTATCACCACTAACGACTAACCCATGTGGGTTCTTTAGATATGTTCAATAACCAAAACGTAATAGGGCAGTGTGTGAAATACTCACCCTTATGCCAAAAGTAGATCACTTACACCCAAGATAAACTCTGCACAAGTCAGTCAGTGTACGCACGCCTGCCGATGAAATTTACAAAGTCGCAGGAATGCTAATCCTTATTTTTGATGGCTTAATGGATTAGTGAATTAGGAAAGTCCAAAAGGGGAGGAGGAAGGCCTGAAATTGATTTTTGTTACCAGAACAGGACGTTCTTTCAGGTAAGCCGGATGGTTAGGGATCAAGATCAGTATTTAGCAACTCAAATATGGGCCAGCTGTAGAATGAATTTACGTCTAGATTACTCATCCTTCACTAGGCAACCCTAAACCGGTGTATGCATTGGTAATGTCAGCAAGACTCTGGGCTCCTGAAAACAATCGATATGCTAAGTATACAAACAAGGTGACCTGCTACACTGAAGGAAACAAATGTGCAAAATTCGACACAAGCCATTTCGAACCACCTTGGTGACTAGATATATGTTAGTGTACTAGACCAATGCTCATTTTGTTATAAACAGTGATAATTTTCATGAGTCTCACGAGGCAGTTCGTAAGTGAAAATGATACTGACATACATACAGATAAGTATTCAATTACGAAGAATTACCTTTGGTTCGATTTCCTTTATCGCTTCATTGGCATCATCTGAGTAGTCTAACCTCAAAGATGTCTGAAGATCCCGATAGGCGGCTTCCCAATTACCAATCATTCTGTGGAGTAGATTTACTTACAATCAGAGCATACTTATTAGCAAATCCTCTCCATTTGTAAGGTTGTGCAGAATCAGGGTTTAACGAAATAGCTTTGTCACAATCTGCAATAGCATGGGACGGCTTTTTCATTCGTACAAAGCAACTATGGAATTGCCAGATAAAATGGAATTTACCTTGCACGTCGAGCATGAAATAGTGAGGACTGGGGGTTTAGTTTAATTGCTTCGGTGAACAAATCAACAGCCCCAGTAAAGTCTCCATCAGACATTTTAGCCATTGCTTCACATTTCTTTTCTTCAGCTTTTTCTCTCAATTCATCAGTTACTTCTATCGAATCGTCACCCATATCTAGGTCTGGGACAGGTTCCTTTGGCAGCACTTCATCATCAAACTCTGGAGAGTGTTAGTAATCACTGTTAACATCTACCTATTTCAGATTCTGAGGTCTCATCTGCACCAGAGTCGTCTGAAAATGAATTTTCAGTGGGTCGGTTAGGTTGTGAAACAGGAACGTTAGCCCCAAGACTATTTGAAAATAAACAAAACCGAAAATATACCTTTTAAGCCAGTCTTTGAAGAACGACAGTTCAGGGGTGTCGAGAACTTCAGGTTTCTCTTTAAGCAACTCAACAAACTGCTTAAGTAATGCGACCCTCTCCGGATTCATGCTTACGAAAACGCGCTTTAGGGAAAGGACCAGAACAGGCTTATTCAACAACGACTAGTTCAAACAAAACTAGATAGAAAATCTTAAGTAATCACCGGTTGATATAATTCATTGTTGTTCGTCAAACTTGATTCGAAACCAATTTTTCATACACGTACGGATTTTTATGCAGTTGGACTTGCAAAATCTATCTAAACTTATTGTCATTCAGCTTATGGACGTAAATAATTCCCTAAAATAAATAGTTCTGTAGGTCTTTGACATTGATGCTGAACTTATTAGTTTTACTGTACACACTCCAGCTGAAGGCGTTCTGTCGATCATCCTCACCTAGTCACGATCGAGGACGCCAGTCAGCTTAGATCAGGAAATTCTCGACACATTGACTATCTCCCAAGTATATCTCCGTAAACCTTTCTATTCGACTTCTGGTTTGACTGACTTTGGGATACTCGATTATGAAGGTGTTGCGAACAGCAGTGTGTAGTGGCATTGGACCATAACCATACAATCCTCAAAGCTGAACACGAGACAACTCGGAAAATAGATATTCAGTATTTAACGCGGAGAAATACCGAACGATTGAGAAGGCGGGAAGAATGTGTGGAAGGAATTGGAGTTGATCGGATGGCATGGCTCGGCCATGTAGGCGTGGTTCATCTGAGTGTTACCTTTTATCTTCTATTCATATTAAATATATTGTTCTTTCTCTAACCTAAGCTTGTTCTTCATCATGTATTGGTAGTTGTTACGATACAGTGAGTTGGTGTAGACGATGATGTGACTTCCACGTTAGATCTTATAGATTAGGCAGTTATATCATGACAAATCTAAAATTTTAGGATTAGGTCTATTATTAGCGTTGTACTAACATCATAGTAGACCGTAATTCTACAAGTGTTGTGAAGGAAGTTATACTCGTGAAAACCTTAGTGGTGAGCCCGACCTGATACAATTCACGGAATGAAAATTTTTGTGTTTCCTGTCGCGACAGTATACGTTTTATTTTATGCATCGTGTGAATGTGCTATTATGTATTTTTCGCATATCTAAATATTTTGTCCCAAAAAAATAGGAACCCAAACCCAGACCATCAATGATTAAGGCATATAAAGACGCTACAAGTACTCGAAGTTTAACAACGCCTTTACCAGTGTCATCTTTTGTAATCAAAACATGCCAACACAGTTAAATCAAAGGTCAGGAACGAAGGGGTTCGAAGATATATTTGATAGGATACCGATATATCGAGAAGTGATCAATCTAAGCCGGTTAGTGGTCGCAGGAGGTGGGAATCATGGCGTACCCACTAGTGATCTGGTGCGAATGTAGGGCCTAGCACCTCCAGATAAGTGAGTCCACTAAAACTGATGCGGTTAGCATCAAATGTTGATGATTTACAGAGCTATTGATTTGGGGATTTATTTACCGCTACACCTTCATGCCACCTTGCAAACATACAATCCTGAGGATCTGTTACAAACCCTAAAATTTCACACAGTGTAATCACTGACCAAGGATGCAAACAACATTCTTGCAAGCATGATCACTAATTTAGAACAGATTTACATATGAGACATTCTCCAGTTAAGATTATCAAGACGAACAGTTCAGTATGTCGGCGAAATTTTAGAAAAGAATGTTCCTGGAGGCATACCATGTAAATACAGAATTAATTTGCGTGAGGAAAATCCACAATCAGTTAAGCATGTCAGGAGTTATTGGGAAGAAAGCGTTTGGCAAAACTGCAACCTTGATGGGTGAGTATATTAGATAATGATCAAAGGTTGGGTAAAAGTTCCATAGTTGTGTGCTGTAAAGAACACGTTGAAGAAGGGGGAAAAGTTAGCAGGAGAACGGATGACTGTGGAAGGTCGACAAATGATTTTTGCAATGAAACTAGGCGTCAATTGTTCTGCAGTTAGTTTACTTTGATTGAATCTACCAAATAAAATGGATGAGTTATATGAACTTAGCAATACTAATAATGCTTATCTGATGGGAATATCTGACACTTGGATATCTTCTCCGTTTACGGATTAGGAGCTGGCAGTACTTGGGATGTCTCTGTTTCGCAACGGCAGAAAAACAGAAATCAGGAGTGTAGTAGCCCTATGCATACGATCCTGCCTGGAGGTACACCAAGATCACAATCAAGAGCTTGCCAACCTTGATGAATCCGTACGGTGCTCAGTAAGATTGTCTACCACTTCGAGGTGCCTAGTTGTGGTCATCTACAGGAAGCCCAATGCTGACATCGAGTACGACAATCGTATGCTGGAAAGAATATACCGCTCTACGCGTCTCGGACTCACACATAACCTGATTCTAGGGGACTTCAAACTCCCTAGAGTCAATTTCGCGGAAATTACGTATATTGGATGTGAAAACTAAATTGAAACTCGGTTCTCCAACCTCATTGAAAAATCTGGGATTATTCGAAAATGTGAAGTCGGCAACTCGTTGGAGAAACAGTCAGATACCGGGTATTTACCAACAAAGAATTCCTAGTTGACGACCTCTCAATCCTGGCTCCTCTGAAGAAAAGCAATTACGCCGTTATAGCCTTCAGTTTTGTCAGCAAAACTGAGCTGAGATATCCCACCATTAAAAGGCGCTAAAATTTCAAAGGGTTGAATGTGTCAGCATCACAGGACTATCTACAACAGGTGGATTGAAATGTTTACTCTCAACTTGATGTGGATGCTAATTTGGAATTCATACTGTACACGCTCTAATGTGCTACAAAGCAGTCAGTTCTCCAAACGGTCGCAAAAAGCTACAAGCAACCTGCAATCATCAAGAGCCACACTCTTTGTTTGTTAAGCCACAAAAGGCACCGTTGGGCAGAATACAAACGAACTGATAACAACGGCCCGTACAGGCAATACAAAAATATAGGGAACATATGCACGAAAGCTATAAGAGAAGACAAGCTTCATTACCAGATAAAGCTTATGGATAAACTTGTCTCTAATTCGAAAAGTTTATTGTGTTAAGCAGCCTCTCTTCGACAAGTCAAAACTGAAGTTTCACAACTGCTCAGACCCGATGCCCCGACCAATAACGACGGCGATGCCGCTAACCTTTAGGCCGGACAATACTCCCGGACACTTCAACCGACCCACATCAACTATACTGATGACAGCTTCATCTGCAACTGCACAGGACTTTCCGAAGTTAACCTGAGCGCTGACTTGGTGTTCCGGAAACTGCAGCACCCACGAAAAGACACTTCTCCTGGCCTGGATATGGTTTATTCTGTTATACTGAGGGAAGCGGCTTCAATCCTGGCAACACTGCTTAGCGTGATGTTCTTACACTCGCTAAGCCGAGGTAAACTACCGGAAAATTGGAAGCTGGCTCACATCACACCAATTTTCAAAGGAGGTCGATGCAGCGAACCTTCACGTTGCCGACCGGTAACTCTTCCGTCTTTACCTTCAAAAATTATGGAGTTCTTGATATGCGATGGTATACACGACTATTTACTATCATTAAACTTCTTACCTCAACAGCATGGTTTCGGGAAGGGTCACTTTTACATAACCAACCTAATGAATGCGGTGGACAGATGGATAAGTATCTTTAATCGCAAGCGGAAAATTGACGTCATTTACCATGACTTCTCAAAAGCTTTTGATAGGGTTAACCATACATGTCTTACCAATAAGCTCGAACGATTGGGTATCAAACAATCTCTAATTGTCTGGGTCACTTCATATCTAAAAAATCGATATTTTAAGGTCAGGGTTAATTTTACTTTATCTCAGGCTATGGAATGTCCTAGTGGGGTACCCAGGGCTCAGTACTAGGACCTCTTCTTTTCTTAATTTATCTTATCGGTCTTCCGCAATAGGTATCATCTGACTTGTTAATTTTTGCTGATGATGTGAAACTTTGGATAGAGATACGCAACCAAGAGGATATACTGGTACTTCAGGAGGATCTGACTCGACTTTAAAGTTGGGCAGACGGCAACGGACTTACCTTAAACACTTCAAAGTGTAAAGTAGTCCATCTGCAACATGTCTCAGACTACAGTTATAACTTAAGAAACTCCTCTCTAGTAGCATCCCGAGTCGAAAAATAATTAGGAGTCCTGGTAACCTACGACTCGAAGTCTTAAGCTAACTGAGACGAAAATGACTTTCGAGCAAACTTTGCACTGGCAACATTGGAGCGCAGTTTTGGCCAGTTTGACGGAAGAACTTTCCACATAATCTTCAACAGTTTTATTCGTTCCCATTTAGAGTACGAAACAGAATTTCCTCCCACTTCAAAAGGATAAGGACACTCTGTAGCGTATCCAACGGCAAGCCATGGAATCAGTTCGGGGGGCTGCAATTGAACGCAACTCAATTTCGTAAATGTGCCCTCCAGCTTAGCAACCAATCAGAATGAGGCGGGAATTATTACATCCGCCATCTTCGTAAGCAATGGCGGTCGGCTTTCTTCGTTCTGTGCTTCTTCCAGCTATTTATTTTGTGTAGCTACGGAATTTGATGTTTCAGTGTGCTAAAATTCAAAAGTTAGTGTAATACTCTGAACGTTGGAGCAAAGTTTTTCCTGATTTTGCTTTGTTTTCTGGGTTTTATCTGCTGCTAATGAAGTCACTGTATTTATTCAGCTAAGCTGGCTAGTACTAACATAAGACCTTACGTTTTCAAACGACAATCGGTTATGTTTTATCTTGTTTTCTAGATATCCGAAGTCGAAGTTCGTTTTTATTTAGCGAAAATAATTGTTGCTGCCGCCTGTGACTCTAACTGTTCGCATGTTCGTTCCTAACTATCCTTTATGATGTTATCGGCAAAATGAAAGGAAACAATCTGCGTTTTTTAATTTTCTTCAGTATTATGGACAACACTTCCACCAACGAGTCAAACTAATACAGAGTGCCCAGCAGTAGGGTATATCGGTACTGATTTCGAAAGGACCCAGACTTCCGACAACTATAGATGAAGTCACAGATGCTACCAATCTATTGCAGAGGGTTTGTTATGAAAAAATATGCCATATAACAGTAATAGAGGGGTTGTACTC